TCTTTCTTTCTTTCTTTCTTTCTTTCTTTCTCCTTCCTTCCCTCTCTCTCTCTTTCTCTCTCTCTCTTTCTATATTTATTTATTTATTTTGGAGACAGCACAAGCAGGGGAGGGGCAGAGAGAGGGGGACAGAGGATGGGAAGTAGGTTCTGTGCTGACAGGGTGACAGCACAGAGCCCGATGTGGCGCTCGAACTCACAAACCTGGAGATCATGACCTGAGCCAAAGTCGGATGCTCAACCAACTGAGCCACCCAGGTGCCCCTAGCCACATCCTTTTCTATTAGCTAGCTTTTCTCAGATTAAACCCACCGGGTTGGGTCACGTTGAACATAAAGAAGCTCTGTGGTGGTTGTGCGCCTGCCGTAGGGTCCTGTATTCGTGTGCCCCTGTGCTTTCGAGGAGGGACATTTTGGTCTACGAATAAAACCTGAAGGCTAGGGCTTTGTCTTTTACTTCTGTGTAACCCTGCAAAACTGCAGAGCCCACCCAGGGCCCAGCCCACCCAGGGCCCACCCAGAAGAAAACTGTCTACACAGTTCCTTCAGAGAGGGTCTTGGGAGAACTTATAACGAACAAGAATTGCTCCATGAGGTATTTATGAATAAAGTTATCATCTCCACCCATCAGGAGAAATTTCAACAATATCAAACCAACCTCCAGCAACCCGGATTAGGCCTTGATGGAATCTCAAAGCTGAAGGTACTTTCAGTATTCCTCCTACCTTTCCATTTTACTGGCTAATTATCCTGAAGCACAGAGATAAATGTGTTGCATGCCTTAGAAAACTGGTGTCCTGCCTGAGTTCAAACCAGGTTATAACCAGCTTCTGAGACTAGTGGCCCCATTCTGCATCTAGGGCAGTGATGCTCAGCCCTCCCCGGGCACTGGAACCCTCTGGGCGACTTTCAAAAAATACTTAGTTTGTAGGCCTCATGACAGAGATACAGATTTAACTGGTCTGGGTTGGAGCCTGGGAATTTACGTTTTTAAAAGCTTGACATGGAAAAAAGTTGTAAGTGGTTTTAACGCACAGGTAAGATTGAGAACCACCAATCTAATGGTTAGGAGGGGAAAAGGGAGATGGGCAAGAGTTTGTGGTGGTCTCTTTAGGCTGATTTATAAGGCACTGGGGAGCCATTGGAAACTTATGAGCGGTGCGGTGACATGAAAAACGAAAAACAAAAAACCAGTCATTATGCATCAAAAGACCAGGTAATACAGGCATTGGCATAAATAAAAGGGGCTGTCTGTCCAGGCAGAGGAAGGAAACTGCTGCTGTCTCCTGCGACAGGATGTTTGGCAGCCAAAGGGCCACCATTAGCGATCAGCCAGACAGGATGTAAATGGAAACCAGCCCTTGGTCTTGTCTCCATTCTCTTTTCTTTCCCATTAAAAATGGGTCAAGTGCTGACCTCAGCATGATGTTAGCTTATCTGCTGTGAAGAATAAAGCTAAGTTTCCACATACTAAGCTTTATTACTCTGGTCCAGAATTTTCTTAACAATAAAGGTTTCAGGGGATGCCTTTTAGAAAAACAACTCACAGCTATAATAATAACTATTGCCTTTAATTACATGGGCTCTTTTTCTAGAAAAATAATCATCCAAAATTTCCAACAGAGTATTATCCCAAAGTCCTGAGGCAGTGATGTTTTTTTATTTCGTTATGATAATAACCAGTTTTGGAGAGACTGAGGTGAAATACTCATCCTTAATCTCTACTAGCAGAAATATAAATCAGGTCAATCTTCATGGAAATTGGACGGTGTATGCTATGAGCTTGGAAATAATTCATACTTTTTGATCTATTGCTATAGATCTATTCCTCAGAAAGGACCCTAAGAAAATAATCAGAGATGTGATATTTGCATACAAGTTTATCACACAATATAGGATATATCGTATGTGTGAATATATATAAATAAAGAGTGCTGTCTTTATTGGTCACACTGTCTAAATACCTGGACAAAGAAAGGAATCAGAAGTCACCGGAGGCTAATTTGGAGTTCTCCTGTTACAGGTCTCTGTTTTCTGCAAACTCTTCATATATGTATGTAATGGCATAGAAGTTTGCCATAAAATATTGAAAATTTGGAAGCAACCAAAGTAAATGTACAATGAAAGTGACCAGTTAAATAAATTTTGGTACCTCGTTAAACAAAATATTAAGAATCTATTAAAATTATGACTTTAAACAATAATATATTAGAGAGTGCTCATGGTATATTTTAAATGAAAAATGGGATGTTACAAAGTACTTTTTAGTAGAGACTTATTTTTTTAAGTGCATATTACAAATATAAAAATCTACTTGAGGGAAATATAGTAAATATAGCTGATAGAATATAGTTTATTTTTCCGTAGTTTCTACATTTCTAAAAATAAACGTGCATTACTTTTATGATTCTAAAAGACACAAAAAATGTTTTGTTCTCAATACATATATTGAGTGTCAATGAAGTTTTTTAAAAATAACAAATTACCAGCCTTGTCCCCTTTATGAGTGAAAGGGCATATGTTTCTGAAAAGATTTCTGGATCTATACCAATTATGTTTTAAAACACCAATTTTTTTATTCTCTTCAAGAGAGGCTTTCTGACCTCAGCTTGTCCCTTGCTGTTTGTCCCTTAATCCAGGCTGTTACTAGTTGTAATGCTGAAAGTCACAGTCATACATTCCCAAGATATCTGTGAGTACTGTGCTCAGCAGAATATTCATGCTCTTTCTTAATGATCATCTCTATAAAAGTTTGCACAGCCAAGGATCAGGAAATGAAGAAACCATTAGGTATTATGGGCACTGAGTCACTGGGGATCCACAAACCACCAAACATTACGAAGCATATAACACTGGTTCCTTCACTCCTAGAAGCTCATTAGTTCTATTCTGAGATTCAGGGCCAGATCCAGGGTCCTCACGAACCAGAAAGCATCCTCCCCAGCCAGGTCAAGCTATTTGAGAGAAATACCAGGACTCTGGTTCATCTCTAGGATGGTACAGGCTATTCCATGTATCTTGAACTGAAGAGAATTGGCTTGTTCTTGTTAGAGAAGACCTGAGAGTCTTGGCATGAGAATAGAGAGTTCATCAATGTGTGCAGGTTGACTTTAGCATGCTTGCTCTCGAAGCCCCTCCTCAATACACCCAGAGCTGAATCTGAGCTGCTACTTTGATCAGGCTTCAGGGTGGGCATGGCAAAGAACCAGGGGGCAAGAGCTTGTCATGCCATCTGCTCTATGGCATTAGAGCCAGCAGGGGTCATGGCCCCGTTCAGTCCCTATCTCTGAAGGTCAAAGCCGTCAGCTGGAAGGCAGCTGCTTGCTTTGGCAATTAGTTCTCAGAAGGTGAAAGGAAGCACGTATAGTGGTTAGCAATGGAAGTGGGTGCCACACATCAGTGCCCCCCTCTGCACTCTCAGAGCACTGTACCACTCAAGTAGGGAACGAGACCCACCTCATAGGAAGTTCTGATGAGTCTGAAGATGTCCACTTCAGGGTAGGGTTCCACGTCATCACTGAGCAGGGAGTGGAGGTGAGGGATGGGAGGCAGAGTGCTGTCTTTATTGGTCACACTGTCTAAATACCTGGACAAAGAAAGGAATCAGAAGTCGCCAGAGGCTAATCTGGAGTTCTCCTAATACAGTTCTCTGTTTTCTGCAAACTCTTCATTTTAAAGCATACTTTAAAATTTATACTTCATCTTAAGTATTTCCTTAAGAACAGAATAAAGTCTTCCTAACTTCTAAAGATGCAGCCTATGAAAATGAATCCTCAGCCACAGACAGAAGTGGGCATTATGCTGCACTGAGCCAAGTAAGACTCACGAAACCAAGGGGAAAGAGAGAAGGCAAGTTCAGAGAAGGAACCGGAGGGGTTTTCAAAGTGAGGCTTGGTCTGTTACCTTCCCAAAACGGTCATGGCCTCCCCGTCGTCCTTGCAGCTCAACAGTTTGTCCACATTTGCATCCAGCACGGCCAGGGCCAACTGGAATATCACCTTGATTCCTTCATAGAAGAAACAGTCCACAACCACAACCGCACTCTCAAAGGGCATCACGCTGAGAAAGAGCGTGAGGAACCAAGACAGGGAGATGGTAGAAATCACGCCCAGGTCCTGCATGCAGTCGTAGAGCTGCGGGACATAGTCTCGCGCCAGTTCCTCGAAGACACCCTGGTCGACCAGCGCGCCTGCAGCGGAGGTGGGCACAAAGGGTCGCAGGTGAACCCACTGCACCTTCTCACCCAAGAACCCAATCAAATAACTTGACTAAAATAATCCAGCTCACAATTGCTGCGGGGATGGAACTCAGCTCCCTTCTCTAACTGTTCTGCTGCTACCATGTTACCAGGTACTAAGTTATTAGACCAAGGTGTCAACATAGCTCAGTCAGCAGATTAGTTCTGGGTGTTTCTTCTCTTTCCAGAATCTTCCTGTCCTGCTTCCCTACCACAAAAGGGCAGTAACACAATGGTAAGGGTTGTTGGATAGGTCAGTTTAGAAAGTTTTCATGATATATAATTGTTCGGTTAGGCATGAAATGTATATCTAAGTAGCTCCGTTTCCTGGCAAACTCATTTAAAAAACAAGTTGCTTTGGGGCACCTGGGTGGCTCAGTCGGTTGAGCGTCCGTCTGACTTCGGCTCAGGTCATGATCTTGCCATTCCCGAGTTCGAGCCTCGTGTAAGGCTCTGTGCTGACAGCCAAAGACACCTGGAGCCACATTTTGAATTCTGTGTCTCCCTCTCTCTCTGCCCCTCCCTCACTCACACTCTGTCTCTCTCCGTCTGTGAAAAATGAATAAACCTTAAAAATTTTTTTAATAAAAAAAATAAAAAACAAATTGCTTTTCTGGATGCACAGTCCCCACAAATGAATTGTTGATTTTAGTGAGAGGTTATTTTTTTTATCTTTTTAAGTTTATTTGAGAGAGGCGGGGGGGGGGG